ATAATCTTAATTTTAATTTAATTTTTTTAATTAAAATAATTATTTAATTATATTAAATTTATTTAGTGATTGTCATAAGAGTAATATTTTAACTTTATCCTAAACCTACCAAATTAAAATATAAAATTTTTTGAAGGTACAATATTGTTTTTATTTTTGTAGTTTGACTAATTTATTTTTTAAAATTTTCATTAATTTAGTATTGATTATAATTCTTATTTATTTTATAAATTTAATTATATTTATATTTATATTAATATATTATTTACTATTCATTTTTTTGAAAAATAATATTTTTTATTCCAAAAATGCCCCAGTTGACTTGAACCGAAATATGGTCTAACTGATAGAATAGTTTCAAATGACCAAAATAGTTACAAATAAAAATGTAGAGGACCATTTTAGCGAAATGTTAATGTAGAGGACCATATTGTGCATTTGTTTACTGTAAAGGAACATTTTTCAGATTTTAGTCTAAGTAAATATACCTAAATCCACCTGATTAAATAGATAAAATTCGGTATGAGCTGAACAGGTTTTCTACAAGAGACGGTTGATTAATTACAGTGATAACAAATTTAAAGGGATGAAAACAAAAAATATTCGTTGATTTCCAGACCATATGATGCCCGCTGACTCTTCTCCGATTTGAAACCGAATTTTATTTGATAAAAAAGTTGAAAATTTTTGAAAATGAATCGATTCGTGGAGGACAAAGTGTTCAAATAGGCCTATTGGTGGGTGTCAAACCCAAAAAAAAAATAAAAAATTAAACCTATTCCTAACAGATTTACTATAGTAGTGAGTAGGGTCGTCTCCTCAGGGAACAACTAAGTGACAATATTTCTAATCAAAAGTAAAGTAACTAAGATGGTTGTTTTCGGATTTGTAACTAGTGAGTAACCAAAATAAATTGCAAGTTATAAAAAGATGATCTTTGAATAACAATAATGAGAGAAGCTCTAGCCAAAGAAATAATATCCACTTGATGTTTACAATTTATCCTTGATACAATGATTTACTCAACAAATTATGAATATATTGGTTATCATTGTTGGAACCTCCAAAACAATTCAGTCATTTTAGTTAATCACCAGCGATTAAGAAATTTTCATTAACCACTCTTTAGCCAAAATCACTTACTGGAACCTCTTAGGACTTAGTTTTCGACAATCAAAGACCCAATTCAACATCTTAATAAACAAACCTTGCTTAATGAAAAGTTGATTATCTATTCTCACAACACAATAAAACTAGTTACTAAGCAATTAATTGTAATATTTTTCATAGGAACAGACAAACTTTGTTGTTTAATAAATTAGATTATCTACGAAAAACTGAATGCTACAAGCTATTTAACTAGTGTCAAATAATGATCAATACAAATCAAAGAGAATAAATAAATACTCATAACTAGTAGACGTATATGAACAATTAGATCTCACAATTGAAATAATATCAAGACTTCAATAATTATTTAACTAAAAAAGAGTTTAGATACTAATCTTAATAGAATCAATAGCAAAAGTGTAGATAATTAATATTACAGAGGTAGTAGAGGAGAAAAGCAAGAGAAATCAGTCCTTCCAAAGCTGAAACTGTCATGTCTGTGATGCTTCTCTTCCTCCTCTTCTTCTCCCCCTTCTTGGTCTTGGTTTGGTCGAATTTCCCCCTCTATTTATAGGGGAGGATGGCTGAAAATTCTCCTAATATGGAGGAGAGAAATAGGATCTTTAACTAGTTTTCCTAGTTTTACAAGGTAATTTCTAAATTTGGCTCTTTTGACAATTCATCTATTAACTAGCAGGAAAACGAACCTAGACTCTTTTATAGACTTATAACATTAAGTCTATTTAAGGAATAAGAGTAACCTCCAAGTAAGATTACTTCCATAGAAAGAAAGGTCTTTTTTATTGTGAACACAAATTCTTATTGGAAACCTTCCTTCTTTGAGTGTGAAAAGAATTGTTTGCCTCCTTCCTAAAGAATAGAAATTTATAACTCCAAAAATTTGGGAAATAAGAAATAATTCGTCCCAAAACCGCAGCTGCCTTCCAATTTTCCTGATATTGCAATTTGATCATTAAAGTTTGTAGAAATTATATTTTTGCCCCAAAACTTTTTTAGTTTTGCACTTTATTCCCTGCTCGAAATTTTCAAATTGTTCTTCAATGTGATCACGTGCTATATCAACTCCACTTCTGCCCACGAGCATAAGTCTTTTCCACAAAAGTTTTGAAAGTACTCAAAATCAACACTTTTGCATCCTCTTCGTCCAAATCACCTCCTATGATCAAATTAAGCATAAAACACCAATATTAGCATAGATACTACTCAAAATTATAAATAAGTTACCATAAATACCACGTTAATATTGACGTCATCAACTTTCACACACCTAGATTTTGCTTGTCATCAAGCATACTTAAAAAGAATACTTTTAAATAAACTCATACACAGCACCACTTAGAACCACATATTTAGAAAATTTTAAAACAACAATCTCAACTACCACGTCATAAATCAATCATATCCTTAATCAAATAACTTCTCTAATATTATGCATAATGAACAAGATAGTTGCTTCATCCCTAAACTCCATCAATGATTGGAACAAAATCACCTCACCAGTAGGTCGCTCATTTTCTTTCTTCTTTTCTCTCAAAGTGTAGCATATAAGACAATTCACACAAATATCTAGCCAAATACTCATGAATTTGAAAAAGCATCACATCATCATACACCAAGCAAATAAGCTTACTAATCAAAAGTCTTTAAAAGGGTTGTAATGGGGCTTTAGGTAAGAAAAATGGTGGATACCTATGGATGTAGGCTTATAATTTTGTCAAGATAGATTATGTATACTTAAACTCCATCTTATCAGATATCCCATATAATGACATTGCTCATCCTCACACCTCAAACTTCAAGTGCTCTTTGCATAATAACTTGTATTGAACTTGTCATATTGCATTTACAAACCCATGGCATCACATGTCATACTCTCGAACAAGTATAAAAATAGGGATTCATGTGATTTTCTTTCTTTTTTTTTTTCTTTTCTTTTTTTTTTTCTGGGTATTTTTCCGGAATTTTTCCTTTTTTCTTTTTTCTTTTGCATTTTTTTTCTTCTTCTTTTTTCCCCGCATGTCCTATATTGCACCAAATGCATAACGTAAAACAAACTCAGTCTAAGCAACCTAATCCAGAGCTTGACAAAAAGGTAAAAAGATAAAAATAGGCTAATAGTTTAATATATCTGGAGCTTAAAAAACAGTCAAGGTTTGAATAGTTCACTAGAGGTAAACATAAATGGTAGGCTTTTTAAGCTAACTTAGCAGAATCTTAGTGCCTTTATTCTTGTGGTAAGCCATTTATAAGAGTACAGATGTGCATTAATCCGGCAAATTCAAGATTAATTCATATTAGATATGATATACTTTTCACATAAAAATGTTGAGTATTCAAATACACTAACTTTATTTACTCAGAAAGGCTAAAGTCACTCAATTTAAACTACCTTTTCTTGTGATAGTATTCCAATCATCAACTTCAATACTTAGATTCACAACATATCTGAGTAGTACATAACAAAGAAAAATTAATGTTTTTCATGCTTCACATTTCAGCCTATAATGATAGTAACATAACAGATGAAATATTTGAAAACAATGGTTCAGACTCAAAATTTTGAAAAATTTTCATAAAAAAGTAGTCTAATTCTTTCAACTAAACAATTTAATGAAGACATAATTTAAAACACACAAACTCCTCCCCACACCTAAAGCATACATTATCCTCAATGTATAAAACATGCAAAGACAATCAAGAAAAGCACATACAAACGGTTAGATAGTTAGTACAAGCAAGCAGGACAAGAATTTTCGTAAAAAGTAAAATGAAAAGAATGGCTAGAGAAGAGGAAAAACGGGTGGATAAGCATTACCATTTAGTTGGTTAATCACTATTAACACATTGGCCAGCCACTTTTTACAAAATAAATGATTAGATAAAAAGTATAAATATAATGGATAATTAGTAGAAAAATACTGGATAAGTACCAAAAAGATAAACGGGTAGGTATCTCGATTTAAACTCTCTTGACATTTCCTCCCCTTCAAAAAGAAAAAAAAGAAAGAAAAAAAATCAAATATTTGAATAGTCAATAGAAATAATTGGATAAGTAGTACAAACTGGTTGGATAATGAGTATAAAAAAATTGGACAATGATTTTTATTGAGAGATTTGAGAGATTGAAACACATTATACTAACGCAAAATAATACTACTTCCGTCTCAAAAAAATAGTCGAAATTAAGTTTTGAGATTTGTACTAGTTTTAATACAAATTTGCAAACACAATTCGGACTATTTTTCTGGGACGAAAGGAGTATATAATATTAGATATATGTTTTATTAATCTTTTAACGGGTCAATAAAACGATACAGCATACAGATTGTATTCACTACAAATACAATTCCAACTACGATAATGAACTGATGAAAAGAACCAGTCATACCTCCATATCTGAAACCTTACATTCATTTTTGAATCTTTAAGCCTCGTGCTCATCTTTAAATGATGCTATGGATTCCAAACTCCCAAAATGGGCTCTCAAACAGGGAACATCAAAAACTTCCAATGATGGAAGAGTCCCCCATCCTCAAGGTGGGGAGTAAACTTCTTTCTAGTGAGAAGGATAAAATGAACGAAATTCTGCTGGAAAGTCTAATTCTCTTAATGAGTAATCTTTTAAATTTTAAAACATTATAATTGATAAAGTATAATTTTAATTGTGAGATTTATTAAAGTTACCGTTTGATTAAAATTAATAAAAGTCGTATTGAGGAGGTACATAGACTCGTCTATCATCACTTTTTTTTTTTTTTGTAAAAGGTGATGTAATATTTATGGATATTGGTAATGAATCTTGCTTTTACTTTGCACAATTTGTATAAAAGCCGAAAATTAATCTCAAATATATTATACTAGAACAAAAAAAAAAAATATATTTTCACAAACCAGACCGTCTGTCCCGTCCATATTGATTTACACCAATCCGGTTCATTGCTGAACCGTCTGTCACCCCCAATTGTTCTCAGAGACCTCGCAGCATAACAGAGTCGAAGCAAACACCAGAAAGGAAGAACAACAAAACGGAAAAGAAGGAGAAGATAACAATGGAAGGTGATCACCGGGAAGCGAATTGGACGGAGGAAGTCGAGGACCTTGTCAATGGCGGAGAGATTGATAAAGCCATCACTGTTCTTGAAACTGTAATCTCCAAGCTTGAAGGCTCTTCTCGTCCTCAATTTTCACAACTGGCCGCTGCTCTGTTGGACTTGTCGAAGCTTTACTCTTCCCAAGGCCTCTCCCTTAAAGCTGACGATGCTCGTGCCCGAGCTTTGTCAATGAATCGAGAATCTCAATCCGGTGAACTGCTCAGGAAGAGGTTAGATTCTCCGTTCGTATTTCTTCTTCTTCTTTTTTTTTTTTTCCCCTTTTCTACGTTTTCATTCGTTTTTCTTTTGAGTTGTTAGGCGGATTTCAATTTATTTGGTTCTTATGATGGAGCGAATTCGTGGTAAATAATGTGATTGAATTTCTGTTGATTGAGAATTGTTCAAATTGTGTTTAGATTTTGTCCGGCCCTCTTTTATTTTGCTTCTTAGGGTAGTGGTATTATTAACTTCTTTGTTGTTATTATTATCTTAATTTCAGGGAATTGAACGTGCTGAATGAGTCAGCTTCTGAAGCTTCAAAGAATTCGAATCAGATTGTTGATGATAGTGTGTATTTCCATCTTTTTAACTTTTTTTTTTCTCCCTCGTTTCTGGTGGTTCTTATACCCGTCACTGTCTTTACGATTTCAAGATTCTCAAGACCACCAGCAAGATTTTTCAAACTTGCGGAAAGATGAGTCCATACAAGAAGAACTCGCGGATGATGGTAAATTATTCCATTAGATTGATTATCTGTCTTATAAGTTCCCTGTGTTGAAAGGAGCCGAATTCATTGCTCCAATATGTGTTGCTTCCATACATCTTGCTGATCGTTTGTCTAGGATTGGGAAGATATCTGGGTTTTTGTTTCTTACTTTTGCACTTCAAAAGATTGTTCATGCTGCTGTGAGATGATTATATAATGAAAGATATGAAGAATGGTGTTGGTTTTGAGATAAATTACATGTTCATCTAGGTCCAAGTCATTCATATGCAACTGCTAACTGCAGCGTTCTTGTCCTGCTTTATTTCCCTCAAGTATTGGAGATCACTCAATGTTTCTTCAAAGGATTTGCCCTTATTGGTTGCAATTCCTTTTGCTAACAGGGTTCTTTAAAGAAATTGTCGAAAATAATGACGAACACAGGATTTAGGGTGATTTGAAAGTCTAAAATTCTATCTGTCAAAGAGGTCACTGGTACTTGGGTTGAATATTTTGATTCCATTGTACAGCATTGAGTTTTTAAGTCACTTGTACCTAATCAAAACAAGACTCTGGGTTGTAGGTTAGCCCTCCGTTACTGATATGTACGTTCTGCATGTATACCATATTTTTTGCTGATCTACACATTTTTGTCATCTTGGGTCGTGGTTTGATATACTGCTTCCTTGCATTGAAACAGGACTATAGGTTGTGGAATATCCTTCTCTTCGTTCTGTATGGATACGATATTTTTTGCCATCTTGCATATTTATGCCATTAAGGGTTGTGATTTTGATATGCTTTTTCCTTGTTTCCGTTTGATATTCTTTTCTAATCTTGTCTTTATTTTACGTGCATCTTTCCAGACTGGGAAGCTGTCGCAGATCGTTCTCCAGATGAGTTACTGACCCCAATAAGTTTGCCGGGAGTATCAAAGCTCTCGTTGGAAGACGTTGAAGTGAAAGGTACGAAACGGCGAGGAAGGGGAACATTTTCCTACAAGAAAGCTGGCATGTATAGCGACGAGCGATTGAGTGAACCTGTAATTGGCGATGAAGATGACATCGCTGAATTCGCATCATCGGCAGGAGAAAATAAAACAAAAAATTGTAAGTCTGTTCTCACTAGATGATGTGTGTACTTCTTTTGAGCAAATATAAGAAATACACTGCTACATGAATGGAATGAATAGTGGAGATTAGAATCAATTACTGAGATGTGCCTTACAATATACCTTTACCTGGTGTTTAGGTGGCTTTAAACTTCTGTTAATTTGTTCTATGCAGCTTGAAATTGTTGGTTCGGAAGCTCATTTCTTAGATTTTAATGCTAAATTCTATTTTGGGCTCACACATTTTGATTACATTTCTCAGTGATCTATGGCACAAAACACATCCTTGTTCTTTCCGGCTTTCCGCCAAGTACGAGGACATTAGACCTAGAGAAGCTGTTAGAGAGATTTAAGGATCGTGGAGTTGTGATTCGCTGGGTTAATGATACAACTGCACTTGCAGTTTTCAAATCACCATCAATTGGTAAATGCAGCTCGTGTTCTTGATTCCTTAACTCTTTTTTATTGCATTTCGCTTTCCAAATGTACAATCTACTTGTGACAGCTGGTTTTCCATTTTTTGTTGTGTTACTCATGTATATGCATTTATACAACAAGCTGAGAATAATCTTTAAGTTGCTTCTCATCAGTAATAAACGTGTACCCCTTGAACATGTCTTACAATATGCTGATGGGCGGCTCTGTATTTCTCCTTTTTGTTTTTCATGTTGAAAATCTGTTTGTGTGGCGAGAGGCCTTTTTAAATTACATTATCTAAGTGATGGGGATTAATGGTTTATTAGGGACATTTCACCTAGTTGGTTTGGGAAACTTCAGAAGAAACAACTGAAGTTTGGTACATTCCTGCAAATAGGTGGCGTTGTAATGCTTGTTATTCTGGCAACCCCTGGACCGTAATGGTGTTTACCAACTAGGAAATAATCATCATGAGCTCATCAGATTTGAATTTCATGTAGCGTGTTTTGATCTTAAAGTTGAGCTGTCTTCATATTACAATTTTATTCGCACTCTGCATTATTGTAACTTAAATTTTTGTTCTCTAATTTTATCGTTTCTTTGAACAGCTCTCGATGCGAGTATGTCCATTAAGTGTTCATTTTCGGTCCGTATACTTGAGGAGACAGATGAAATTCTAAGCTCGATTCCCCCAAGAGGTAATCATTTCTGTTTCTTTTTCCGTTGGTGTGTCTCTAGGTTAAGTTAAAGGAGCAAAGGAAGAAAGTTTCCTTTCATTGAGTTGTTTCTCATGTGTAACTGGCAAAGCTGATAGATGTTATTTCATAAGATAACCAATTCTGGTAACCTGTGCATTCAACTATAATATCAGAGTTATTTCGCAGATTTGGTGATAAATGCCACTCTGTTAGTTACGTAAAATTACTTGACTTTGAATGGAGGGCCATTTGTCTGATTTTGTGATGATAATTGAAGGAAAACCTGAAAATTGGGGACTGATCTAATCGTGAACTGTTTTCGGCGCTTCTTTGACCTCCTAACCCTCTCTTCTCTTCTCAGTCCGTTTATTTTTCTTTGGCTGTTTAGCTTTGAAGTTTTTCTTCACTGTTAGGTTACATGGTTTCTTGTATCTAGCATCAGCATCCATTTTTAGCTTTATTATGACTTCATTGCTTTCACTGCAAACACAACTTTGGGGGTACTGCATATATGTATCTTATTTTTGCTTATTAAGACTTAGGATATATGGAGCAAATATTATGCAGCCTCTCTTCTCCTATTTGTTTCTGTCCTGTGATCACAGGTCCAAGAATCATAGAAGTTTCTGTAGCAATATGATTTGCATGCGTTTCCACCAAGGCAACTTAGTTATAAAGTTTAGTTTTGACTGAGCTGAAAATTGACTCTTTTTAGTTTTGATTCATTGTGTATGTGTGAGAGAGAGAGAGAGAGGAGGGGGGAGGGTGAGAGAGAGAGGGAGAGGGAGAGGGGGAGAGAGAGAGAGAGGGAGAGAGGGAGAGAGAGAGTGTGTGCGCCTAATACTTGTCTTACACTAGTGAACGTTGATCCTTTGCAGTTGGTGATATATGTTAATATGTGACAAGTGCTTTAGATGTTGGATAGCAAAGATAAATATTTGGAGTCTTCCCAGCTTACAAAGTTTCTATTTTGTTCAGATCTTGAACCTCCTGCTGTGCGGCCCAAAACATCTGCAAGAACTGCACAGAGACTTATAGCTCAAAGCATGGGAATAAAGTTAGACACAACATCCTTCGGATCTGAAGAACTGAGGAAACAAGAGGCAGCCCGGAAGAGCCGAATTATTTCTAGGCAACACATGAAGGAAGATGCTTGGGGTGATGATGCAAGTTAGCGTGTGGATCGTTTCTGCAGGAATATGAGGTGATCTCTCTTATCATATAGTAACATCTTTGACACCACCAACTAATTCTTTATGTCCTGTGAATTCTCGGCTTTGATGTGGATCCGCAGGGATTGTACCTTAGGCAACTTTGACATATCACATTTAGTTTTGAAGGAGATGAGATGATTAGTTTGCAAATTGACTAACCGAACCATTGTGAAATGTATACGGTTTGGATTTCACAAGCAAATTGCTCCTCATTGAAGAATTTGTTTGTTTTGTTATGCATTTCTGTTTGTGACGCCGAAAGCTCCACTCGAAAGTCGAAAACCCTACCCATTTGTTTGTTTTCTGTTTGTTTTGTTATTTTCTTATATTACCAGAACCAAAAAAAAAAAAACAAGAAAAACTCTTTCGGCCTTCGAGTCTTCAATGTTGCTCCTAACCATTGGGTCGATTCCTCCGTTTTTTGCCTGAAAATCTCTTTTCCGCCATTTTATTAAGGTCTTCAATATACAATTCAACAACGGATCGAAGCATGGAAAATCTTAAGTTGTGATTATTTCTTTCTCCTTGTTGGGGACTCGAGCATCAAAATTTTTCTTCCGAAATTCCCAAAAATTCGAATATAGCAGGCGCGCGATGTTCCTGCCCCAATATGACTCTGCGATTGATATGTTTGGTTGGTCTTGATTCTGAAAATGATTGGGTGTCGCATAATTTCCATTGCCAACAATACTCATGTGAATTGAATTAATTCCTTACTCTACTCTTGATTGGGATATACGGCTAATTGGAAACTGTTGTTATTTTGATTTAGGAAAAGGAAAATTGATTTCTTGTATATTCCTGGAGAATTTATTTAATATCTTAAGCTTCGTCCATGTCTTCTCCTTCCTGCTTGAAACTGGAAATCAAATTTGCTGCTCGAGTCATATAAAGAATTTGCAGAACCCTGAACCCGTACGAGATGGAATGGATTTATTTATCAAGATGGAATGGGTCTATAAACCAATAACTATTAAAATAATAATGATAATAATAAATTTTGGTAGGAAACGAGTTCCCTGTCTCTAAATGTTACTTCCTCTGCCGGAAAAAAAAAAAAAGAAAGAAGAAGAAAGTAGACTATTAAATGTGATGGAGAGAGTGGTTAATTGCATTTCTTTTTACAAATTAATTATTAAAAATTATGAAAAATACAACCTTCATTAATTCCTAAAGCTCGTGCATATTACTTCTTCCATTTCAAAATATAAATCTTTTTAGCCTCTACACGTAAACTAAGAAAATAATCATTTAATAATTAATTTGTATGTTAAATGTTTATTTTGTTCTTCATTAATTGTTTAGAAATTATAACTAAAACTATATGAAAAGTAGTTAGCATCATTTATTGGGGGCAAAGTTGGGAAGTTAATCTTTAATTTGCCGTGAAATCCTAAAACGACTTACATTTTAAAATATTTCTCCAAACCTAAAGCGACCTACATTTTGAAATGAAGGGAATAGTTTTGAATCGCAGTTAATACGATAACTGTTATCAAAATATCGGAATGAGCAATGATAAAGATAGTGACAATTTATAGTGAAATGGAATAGTGATTAATGAAAAGACAAATATATCATTCTCACTAAATATGTGTACTTATTAATTAAGGCTAAAAAAATACTCCATATCACTCACTTTCTTTTTTCACTTTTTTTTCATTATACATATTATTTTCCTATTGGAATACACACAAAATGCTACACTTTTTGTCCCAAAAAAATAGATTACATCAAGTTGTATGTGGGTTATTTTTTAAAATGAAAACCGTCGGTTCCTCAAACTATGTAGAGTAAGTTTTCTCTATTTTTTTTTTTCAAAATTCCTCCAATCTCATTGATAATTCGACGAGAATTTACCCGGTGGATGATGGTCAAAGATGTTAAAATTTATGGTACAGACGGTCAACATGGCGGCATTGCTAAAGCTTAACTATAAGCCAAAATGTAGTTCTTTTTAGCTAAAATCAGCACCTGTTGTACTTTGCAGAAAAATGTTTTACTCAAATTAAGTATTCCTAACTCTCTGATGCTAGTCACAAAACTATTTACATTGATTTATATATTTTAGGGCGACCATATTTTGCTCTATAACATTTAACTCGACAAGCTCAATAAAAAATTATTAATCACATAACCGACATATATCGTCATGTAAATTAAAAAGCAAAACGCCCCAACCAAATGTTTTTATGGATAACAACATAACAATAGCATAATAAAAATAGCTACATTAATGGACTGTATGGAATGAAAAACTATTAATTAAATAACCAAGAGACAATGAAAACAATGTAAGACCGACAAACAAAACACATAATTGTACCAAAAGAAACTGCGAATAATTATGAAAAATATGGGAACGTTTAAAAGGTAATACAAACTGAAGAAAATCTGGGTATTTGACGATGCGTCCCACGAAATCATAGAGTACATTAAGTATGGGTTGAAACAAAAAAGTGGAAAATCCTTAAGGCACACATTAAAGACGAGGAGAAATTCAGGCATGCCATATTGCCATATTGATTTCCATAATTTGGAAAAAGCAAAAAAAAATCCGCCCCCATTAAATTTCCATTGCATGATTGATGCTCACCCGAAAACCATATTTAAGAGTAATAATTAAAACAATGCAAATTTGAAGGCAAGAAAATGTCTCAGATGTATTATATATAAACATCCTAAATTATGACTAAGTATCATCATCAACATCAACCAACCTCGTTTCGATAAAAAAAGAAAAAGAAAAAGAAACTCTTCCAAAATGGCCTCATTCTTGACCAAAAAACAACCATTTTTGTTACTATTTCTTTTTTCCATCATTGTCACAAATTCCGCCATGATCAATGCTGCTTCTTCTCCTACAGCAAAATCTCAAGTTTTTCCCACTGATGTTATAATGGAAATTCTTCCGTTCATAGAGAAGATTGGAGTATTCCAACAATATGAATGTTGGATAGCACTTCCTTTGATTGGAGGAGTTTGTACAACTGATATATTGAGGTACATCATTGGACCTCAGAATGGGATTATAAGTATCCCTTGTTGTAATGTTGTGAGGAACATTGTGGAGAAATGTAACCTTCGCAATCTCCCGTACAATCCCATTTTTCCTCCTACGGTGCTTGGTGTATGTGCTTGAAATGATGAACAATTGATTTTTTGTTTGATGCAATTGGAGTATATGAGTTAGCCAATGTTGAATGTTGTTGCTCAAAAAAACGAAATTCCATTAATTAGTTTCATTTTCCTCCCATTTATCCTTTTGTTATTCTTTCAGATTTTTTATGTAAGAAAGTGTAGTAAAATTCTTGATGATGTTTAGGCGCTCCGCTATTATTGTTATTGTTTACAATACTTTCTTACTTACCCTTCTTTCCCCTTTGCTTACAATTTCATATATGGTTTTTACAATTTTTATTAATTGCGTGTATATTTTCACGTCCAAAAGACAACTAAAACAAGAAGAGAAGATAAATTTCATTCTTTTTTTTAATTCTCAACTTTTGCCTGTTCTTAGTTTCATACTGAAAAGTTATATATTATCATCGTAATTTTTGTTGGTAAAGTTTTCCATGTCATATTTATTGCGAACAATAATTTTTCCGTCTGAGACTATCTCCAATTTTACTTTTCTGCGTACACAACTATCTGTTTTCCAGCAATAATAAATGAGGCCAAAAGCGCCACATTTTTCGGTTTGAATGATTAGTATGAAACTAATAGATAAAACAGAAAGTGATTATGAATTAGTATATTTTGCCATCTCCTATGCATGCATTTTTAATTTGTAGCGTTAATGATTATGGTCATATCAAACAGGAAATCCAGGAACCAAATTCCTAAGTAGTTAGATTATGGTTGTATCATGATATAATTAGGTTAAACTCTTCAAAAGTATAATAATTTATTTCGTTCGTACTTTCACAATAATTTCAAAATAATAATTTTAAAAAATTCGGTTGCAAATGGAGCTGAAGTTTTGGTGCTTTTCTAATTAATTTTAATAAATTACTAAAAATCAATACATAAATGTAGCATCTTGGATTGTACTTCTGTCGCTTCTTTATATAAAATATAGCTGCAAGGCGTACAATTTGACCTCGCAGACCCACGAAACTGGAAATGTATTAGATATGTTGTTGTATATAATGATAAACTAGCTATAAGTAGTGGAGAGTGTGGACCGAAAATATTGATTAATTAATTAGATGAAGAAACGTCTGAAACTGAAGAAAAAATCACCTTCTTATTATAAACACTTGGGTGATGATAGTAAACACTTGGCAAAAATATTAGAAGGCATTTCGACTTGTTTTAATTTTTATTTAATATGTTTTTTTATTGAAAATAAAATCTTAAAAATATTTTAAAAATATTTTTTATTCCTCCTAAAATAAAGTTGCTCATAATGATTAAGAAAATAAAAATTTACCCCCATTACATTTCCTGTATGGCTGATGATATTATCAGGCTAATAGTTAGCCTCCAAGGCGAATTATACTTGATTTTTCTAATAGTTGGCTGATGTATGGCTGATGATTTTTGTGAGTCAGCCCATTTTGCTCATGCTAGTCCTTGTTTTCATCCGCTGCCAATCATTCAGATCCTCTACTAAAATCAAATACCTCCTCCTTATACCGTTTGTACTCCCTCCGTTCTAAAATTATTGTCCACTTTACTAAAAAAAATTTATCTCAAAATTATTGTCCGATTTACCTTTTTTATGGAATAAATTACACATTTACCCTTTAGTCACTAATGTGGTGTTTCCTTAATATGCATTTCATTTTCTGTTTTAAATGGAGGAAAATGAAAAAAAAAGAAAAGAAAAAGAAAAGAAAAGAAGAAGTCAAATGCCCAAAACAATTTCTTATGCTACCCCACCACGACCCACTATATATCCCCTTACCATTTCTTAGTGGTCATCTTCCTATGTAAGTGTGAATTTTCTGAAATTTCCATCAAATCATATGATATCTCTCCATCCCTAATTTCATCAATTCATTTGTAAAATTCGTTTGCTTGTGTTTTTCTAATGAACCTTATCAATCCATTTATGGGGTTCACAAGTGTCTTGATTTGGTGATCTTTGTTGTTTAGAAATTTTTACTAATTCATCTCTTTGGCTTTACGATTGGCGGAGAGAAATTATATCTTGAATTTAGTTTAACTGTTTTTGCAGGCTAGCTGTGTGGTGCTGAATTTACACAAATGATAGATCATTGTGTTTCTTGACCTTTCGCATTAAGGTTATCCTTAAATTTTTCTATCTCATAAGTAAGAGCATGTTTGATATAACATTGTTGTGATTGCATTAATCTTGATGCACATGAATATCATACGCTGTATGTGTTCAAATTATGGTAAAATTGTTTGGTAATAATCGATTGATAGAATATGTGCTAGTTTCTCAATTAATTTCTTTTTTGAAATTTTTGTTAACTATGCCTGGAACGTTATGATTATGCTAGTTAGACCTTTATGATTAACCATCTATGAATATGGTATCAGCTTTTCCATTTGTTGTTTATGAATGACGATGGTTTATTAATGTGCACTACGGTTGATATGGCTTTGTTTGGAGATAATGAAACTCTGTTATTAAGTTCGAGTAAGTACATCATGTTACCATATTTAATAAAGTGTTGTTATTAAGTGAGAATATCCAAGTATAAGGTACTTTGCATATGGTGAAAAAGGACTATAATCAAATTGGATATTTGTGCTTTCACAGGTTTATCGAATGTGTACACGAAGGAAAGGAAAGGAGAAGATTGTTGTTTACTACATGTGCTCGATCTCCATCCCACTTTGTATTTAACTAATTCTATAAATAATGATTAGAAAAAAATTTCATGTTAAACGAAATTACATTAAAGCAAAAATGTTGAATTTAACTTGTATTTTTCATCCATTTAAGTATATCATTTTGGGTGGAGGGAGTATTGAGTACTTGTTTACCTTTTTGCGTATTATTTTAGAATAGATAGAGAAACTCACTGCCTCCCCAAGTTATGTTGAGGAGCACATGCATCAGGGAAGTAATTCCAATGCCTTTTTTATCATTTCCTACTGACGAAAAATTACTTAACATGTGGTAATTAATGTGCTTTTGGCTGTTACTTATTGTGTTGTTAATGTTTTTTTCAATTGTGATTACATGAGTTGTATGGGGAAACTGAATACATGTAGGAAGATTGGTTTAAGGTCTAATTTAAGTGATCCAGCAACAGGGTGCTAACTCCCATTAGTGAGAAAAACGTACCAATTACCTTTTTTTTCTTAAGCTGAAAGAAAGAGAAATCAATGAGCGAAGAATAGATAAGTACAATACGCTTAGAAGGTATATCTCTAAAATGAATATTGTAACCCAACTAATCCTAGGCATCAGTTTCTCCAATGTATTTATTGAATTTTAAAAAGTTTACAGGAAATGGCAGTACTTAAGTGCTTGTTTGGACAATATTTTGTTTTTGTTTTTTATTTGGATTTGGGAGGAGATTTAAAATGTAGTTTAATGTTTGATTTGAAAAAGTATTATAGTACAGTGTCCATTTATGAAATTAAAATAGTTTAGTGACCAAAATGAAAATTTTACAATAATGTAATGACCAAACGCAAAATTTTACAATAGTTCAGTAACCAAACGCAAGACTTTACAATAGTTCAGTGACCAAACGCAATAAAGATTTACAATAGTTGAGTGACCAAAATGAAGACTTTACAATAATGTAATGACCAAATGAAACATTTTAAAAGGTAAATTAAAATGTTGTTTGGAGAGTGCATTGAATTTTGTGTTTAAGAGGTAAAATGAGACAAAAAGTAAAATAAGAAGTTGGACAAACAAAGCCTAAGACTTGCCATCTATCCGATTCTCATATATGGAAATTCCTGCTTATCTAAAACTAAAAAACCTTTTATATCCAAAGGAAGATCCCTAGATTCATTAAAGTATTTAGATATACCAGAGGAAGTTATATTAGCGAGATTATCAGCTACATCATTAGCTTCACGATGAACATGGATAATGGAGTAGTTGAGACTCTGGATTAGGGATTGAATTTCATGAAGAACCTGTTTGAAACAAGGCAAGTCACTGCTTGAGTTGATGATCGTACCAAGGGTAAAGTTTTCTGTTTGAACCTCAACATTTATAAGGTTCATTAAACAGCACCTTCTTAAACCAAAAAGTAGGCCACTGACTTCTGCGACAATACTATCTCCTTGACCAATAAAGCCTGATTTACCATAGATAAAATTACCATTTTGATCCCGAATCACAAAATCATAGCCGGATGCTTGTTCTTCTTGGAGGGTGGAGCCGTCAGTATATAAAACAAAATTGCTCTGCTGAGGATGTTTCCATCTCACCACCTTTATAGTTTTTTCCTTCTGTGCGAAGCTTACATTTGGAAACCTGGATTACATGAATGTACGTTCCAAGTGTGATCTTACTGGAGGTGAGTGTACCAGCATCAAGTGGCAGATATGATCCAGTACTGCTTGCTAAATTCGAGTTAAGGAGGGTTTTGTTCCATCATGAATTGATCTATTCCGAGTTTTCCAAATTTCCCAAAGCACAAAAATCGACGTTACCATGATTGCAACTTTCCTGGCTCAATTGAAACTACCAAAGGACCACCATGATTGAATCATATGCCAGAGAGATGGTGTCGGATGTAGTGTAACTTGGAATTCATGCGAGAGGTATGTCCAAATAGAGTTAGCAATCGTGCAATCAATGAAAACATGTTGCATCGTGTCCATATTATGCCTACATAAAAAACAAATGGAAGGATTAGTATTGATTCTTAAAGAAACCACTATGTCAGAAAATGGAAGTAATTTGTTGATTAATGGTAAACACGCGCTTTAATCACCATAGAATAGATCGAGGGAGGTTCGAACTCACATTGCTTGCTTGTCAGGCTAGATTCAATCCGATCTTGTTTGACTGCTTATATACAAAAGAGGTATTTTTTCCATGAGAAAAAGATATTCAAAGAGGAATAAAGTGATGCCAGGAACTCTTTAAAACTCCCTGTTTAGTCTTCTTGGTTTGAATTGCTTCATAAACTGATTTAATGGAGAAATTCCATTTGAAGTCGGCTGCCAAATGATGCGTTCTTCGCCGTCATAAAAAACCTGATCAGAATTCGCCAAGAAGTCCAAGGTTGCCAGAGTCAGAAGGTTCTGAAAAAAGTGAAGATATTCCCGTTTGTATATCCCATAGAACTCCCTTTGATGACCAATTGTCAAGCCAGAAATTTGAGTTCCCGTTCTGAATTTGAATTTTCAAATATTGCGATGCTACACGCTCAATCTTCGCTATTCGATGCCATGAAGTTTTACTTCGTGCTGAGACGAAAAAAGGAAGGATGAAGTTGGCCCATAAACCATGTTTATTTCTGATTTTCCACCACATCTTTAGGGAGAAAGCTTTCACAACATCTTTGAACATCCGCAATCCAATACCGTTTTCATCTAAAGGGAAGGTTAAACGTTTCCAAGATCACCCATGCTTTTTTCCTTCTTCGGAGGCTTGCCAGAGAAATTTCTGGCATCGTTTTTCAAGTTGATTAAGAACTGATATTGGCGGTGAGATGACTGTGAACAAATGAATCGGTATTGCTGAGAGAACATGTTTAATAAGAAGCAAACGTCCGCCCTGGCTCAACAACTTGTTTTTCCAGTTTTTAAGTTTCACATCTAGAGCATCCAGCAAGTGTTTAAACTGATCAGGCCGCTTCCATGCCTATAGTGATTTTTCTTTCATGATATTGAAAGTGTATAGAGCCCTGTTGCATACCTAAAATGTGCCAGATAAGGGTACGATGTTGCTGCGGGCAGGAAGCATCGACATAGAATTTACTCTTCTCTCGATTGATTTTTTGTCTAGAAGCTTTTTCATAGTAAATAAAAAAACCATTTAGTTTCTATAGTGATGCTTTCGATCCTTTTGTGAAAACGAGGAGAGCTTTGATCCTGCTGGAGTACTGAATCCTTCAATCTTCTTTTACTGCATGAGAAAGTTAAGCCTACGAGTCATAGCTTTTGAGATTGAAATGAAAAGATACGCGATAAAGGATCGCCTTGTTTTAAACCCCTAAGCTGGAAAAAAAAACCCATTTGGAAATCCGTTGATAAGAATAGAGAACAACTGCTGGTAAGATTAGAAAAGATCAAAGTTATAAAGTGAAGAGGGAAGCCAAACCGTTGTAGGATTGCTTTTAAGAAATTTCAAGAAACTATGTCGAATGCTTTCATCATATCAACCTTACGAATGAGATTGTTTCCAACTGCCTTGTGACCCAAAAATTGGCATAAGTCTTGAGCAAGCAAAATGTTATTATTAATATCCCGTCTAGCTAGAAAAGCCGATTGTTCTTCGGAGAATAATTTCGGAAAAATTGGTTTCAATCTCTCTGTTAGAAACTTCGTAAATATTTATTTACGAAGTTGCATAAACTAATCGGCCGCAAATTAGAGAAGGATGATATTGAAGATTTTTTAGGAATTAAAGCCACCAATGTGCTACCAATGGCGCGAGGTAAAGGAATGCCAAGAAAGAACTCTTCACACGCCTTCATGAGATCGTTTGCTATAATTTCCAAGCAATGTGTATAAAAACTTCCTATGTGTATAAAAAACTCCTCGAAAGCCATCAGAGCCCGGCGCACTATCTTGATCGAGACTGAAAACAGTGGACTTGATTTCTTTCAAGGAGACTGGCTTCAATAGAGCATTGTGGTCTTCATCATCAAATGAGTGAGCTATTTGTTGTATAAAGTTATCAAGAATGATACGGCTTGACTTTCCTTTATACATTTTAACCTCATTTTTTGATTCCAAAAGTCTTCATGTTCCTTTAGCCTTGAGAGAAGTCGAGCTTTAGAAAGGTTAAGTTGTATTCTATAACCTTCCAATTTTCTGAAAATAGCTTCTCTCAAGCTGAGTTAACCAAAGCGTGCCTTGCTGTTCCAATGGCTGATTCCAATTTTCTGTCACTACATTGAGGAAATCTGGCCTCATGAACCACATCTTCTGGAATCTAAAACTTTTTGGCCAAGCTTTTTCATTTTTTGTGTATTCTAAGAGAAGAGGACAGTGATTCGATGTAGTTCTATTAAGATGTTCAACAGAAGCAGCAGGATTAAGTAGCTAGCCATTCCTAGGAAAATAGAAACCGATCAAGCTAATTACTGATCCATCCCGTACTACGCGTGCCGCCGCAAGTAAAATTAATCATCACCAGCTACGTTTAATTCCATCAAACTACAGGATTCTATGCTTTTGTTGAATTCCTCAATAGCCGAACGATCTTGGACTGAGGATCCTGAGTATTCCTCAAGAGTTCTAATCACATTAAAATCGTCTCCCACAATCCAAGGAGTGCCCAAGTGTTGTTGATGAAAATTGATCAGACCATCCCATAGAGCTTGTCGTCCAAGACGAGTGGATTTAGCATATATAGCCGTCATGAAAAAAACCTGATTTTCAGATAACTTTTTGACTTCAAAATGAAGAGATTGATCAGTACCACCAATCATTAGAATATTAAAATCATTATTAAAAAAACACCAATTTTTACTTATGCAAGATGCGAATGCTTTTGAAAAACCTAATTCAATCCGAATTTTTTTCAATTGATTAGAGGACAACATAGGTTCCAGCAAAACTAATAAAGAAACTTTATATCTTCGAATTAGTGATTTCAAGTGATGTTGAGAAGCCTAATTTTTAATTCCATGAACATTCCAAAAAATATGATTACTTTTTTAAAGGAAAAAATTAGGTTAAGAACAAAATAAATTATTGTAATTGGGAGGATCGTCGAGGCTCAAAGCTTGCTTGCAATTTGATCCTTTCAGCATTAGTTTTGTGATCTCGCTTCCTTTTAATCGTTCTGAAACCATCTGTTTATTGGATTTGGACGTCATCTTTTTCTCCATCTGACCATCTGTTGCGTGGATCATCCTCCTCGTCTATGGCATTGCTTCTTCTGCCTATTAAAGAATCATCTGGCATTGCAATTCTTGGTGGTCGCTTTGATAGAAGTTGAGGAGGAGTCTGGATCTGCACGCTGGTGGTTTAGAATTGTGTTGTCATTGATTCCAACCCCAAAGAGAATATTTATAAAACCTACTTAAAACTATTAACTACTGGTAAGCATGGTCGTTCCATAAAGACGGCAGTCAACCACTCAACATCTGATTAAAGTGCAAAGAAAAGAAAGTGAAAGAAACAAACGGACTTGTCACTTGGGAGAGTGAGAATAGTCACTTGACAGAGTGACACTCTGCACTTATGTTCCTGCTACTACCCTGTTTCTATCCAACTAACTAACTACCTAACTACTGTTTCTGTAACTGATTCTAACTACCCAATCTATCCTCTTTGACTACTGCTATTGGCTAACTATTATTATAGAGATTTGGAGAGATTTGGATTGGTGGATTTCTGGCCTTTCTCGCAGCATATTAGAGGAAACAACAAGTTGCAGCAGCCAAAGGTATTTGTTTACCAGCAACTTGCGGAATTGGTAAGTTGCTGTCTTCTTTCCCTGACTCCTTCCTTCTTCAGCCGTAATCAACAACCTTCTACTCATTATTACTGCTTCTCCTTAGTCTTCTTCTTCGGCGCCTTCTCACCATTTGCAGCCACAAATCTCCATTTCTTCATTCTTTAATCCTCACAGCTCAATTTGCAGCAGTTAGTAAGCAGCAGCATCAGCAGCATGCTTCCTTCCATCGTTTCCAGCCCCCAATTCAGCCTCAATATTCTGCCATTTTCTTTGCTTGTTTTCTAGGTCACTTGCTACACCATTCCTCACCCTTCTACAGCAGCCAATACATCAACTCAGCAGCATCATCAGTTGGTAAGTAGTAGAGTTGTAGCTGCTGTTCTTCACATATATTCCCTTTTTCTCTTGTTCCACTTGCAACAGCAACAACTTGCAGTGATGGCAAAGCAATCTCCTTCCTTGGGCACCAAGATTTTTTTCAGCTCGTGGCTTCTCTTTTATTGACAGCAGCAACAGCTACTGCAGCAGCACCTTGGCAACAGAGTAGCTGCCCTTCTTCTTTTCAATTGAGTGCGCTGCTGCAGATTCTTCCAAATTGTGATCATCTACTGCCATTCTTCCTTCCTCAGCAAGGATTTCTCACTTGCTTCAGCTCTGATTGATCTTCCAACAGCCTGATTTCCAGCAGCTTCTAATTCATTCCAAAATGATGCTCCTTTGTGCAATTTGGCCCTCATTTATGCTGTTTTTCCACATTGGCCCCTTGATTACCCTGAAATACAAAATCAACCCAAAAGTAAACTAATTCTAACTAATTGACACCTAATATTAAGTAAAAATGAATAGAAAATGCCTGCTCAAAGTGTATATATTTTAGTGTCATCACACGCCGTTTCTTGCAGAGTTCATACTATAAACAATAGCAGTATCAAGTAAGGATAAATTCATAGAATTTGGGATTTCCGCAACAGGTTGAACGAAAGCAGCTCGCTGTTTTTCCTGTTGCTGCTCAATTGTTGAAACGCAAAGCTCACTCTGATTCGAAAGATTAACACCATTTTCAGCATTGGCTGTAACATTCTTATCTGGCTCTGAAACAGGCTCTGAGAGTAATTCGTTCAAAGAGGTTGACAACGAGATTTTCTCATGCATCTCTGTGTTAATTTGAGCTGAAGCATCAACATCAATCGGAATATTTTCTTTCTCTAAACCTGATAGGCCAGACGTGGATGCCTGAATCGTAGCGTTATCATCTTTTTTATACGAATCCACCCTTGGTTTCCACTTTGGAACTGGCTTTGGCATTTTGAATTGAACATTTTCCGGCCTTGGACGAGACTATTTTTCTGATTTATCAGGGATAGCCAAATTAGGAATCTTCTTAATTTGCACTTCGTGCTTCCCGTGTTGCTGATTATACTATTTCCCTTTCCTACACTCCGAATCTTTGTGGCCTATTTTGTAACAACTAACACAATATGATGGAATATGTTCATAAGTAAAAAATTGTTCATGTTTGTTACCCTTCTTACTAATTTTGATCGAATTTGGATGCTCTTTTGTTAGATTGGTTTCAACACAAAATCGTGCAACCGATGGGCGCGACAAGTTGTAAGTGGGAGCATCGATTTGAAGTGATTTACCAATTGATGTGGCTATTGAATATAAAACCTTTGGGTGAGTCCACTCCAACGGTAATTCATGTAGAAAAACCCAAAAGGGAACAATGGGCGGATCTTCCTCAAATTTAAACCCTGGGCACTATTTAATAATCCGTATTTGATATCCGCCAATGTTCCATTGAGACAAAATCTAGCAATGCAGGTAATTTTCTTCTAGTTCGAAACGAATTGAGACATGCCGCGGATTCATTAATCCGAGAGAATATGATCCCTTGAAACCAATTTTTTTTTGAATTTTTCTCATACTTCCTCTATTTTTCGCCGGCCGTATGAAAATTTACCCACGAGAGTCATCATGTGAGGAGCGATAAGGGCTTCGAACTCATCATCATTGTATTCCAATACCGAGGAGCCATTGAAAAAAGTAACCTTCTTTCAAATCGGGAAACGGCAATGGACCAGAAGGTTTTGTTGCTTCCTTGGAAACTGTTGAATATGGCTGATTAAATAGACTTACCAAGCTTTTTGATGAAGAAGTGTAGTTGCCGGCCATGGCAGCCGGCAAAGGGAGCTGTTGCTTTTTAGGGTTTTTTTTTTAAATTTTTCTAGAGAGAGGCGAGAGAATTATTTTCTATGTACCAATTATCTGTATACCTTTATTTGTTTTTTTTTAATATTTTTTGCAGATCATTTGGCTTCTATCATTTGGCTTTGATATGTTATAAGCATTTTACAAAGTTGAACTAATATATTTTCCTAATGGTACTGATTCAGTGGCTGTTTGTTTAAGGTGTTATTGCATTCAAAAAGATAAAGCGCCTAGTTAGAGCCTCGACTAGAACCTGAACCAGTATTCATAAATTTTCAAATAAAGAAGAGAATCGATAAAATTTCTTTGTAATTGTTTTACGGTTCAATATGACCGTCGACTGACATTAGGTATCTCTATGAAGTTTTCATTGATTTGTAACAGATACAACAAGTTTCATTTTATGGAATAATTACTTTTTGTTCGCTTATGAGTCATAAATTAACTCTAGGTCTATTGGGTCTAGGATTAGATTACTTGGAGATTAAGCCACCGTCTAAACCTATTCCGCTAGGGTTTCAGGAAACAGGTAACACCACCTCTATATAAAGAGGTGGTGCCTCTCTCATAATTCATATCTTGTACATATCTTCTATCTATCTTCTACCTATCTTCTACACTTTCTACACACGATACACATCCCTCTCTCTATTATCTCTATTCCCTTATTGACTTAAGAATCAGAGAGTCTACCCTCGGGAGACACCCGAGGCTATGTCTTGCAGGTTTTAGGCCGTTCGTCGCCACCTAGATCATAGTTGCCGCCCGTCCTAAGGTACCGTGCAAATCCATGCTTCGTCAAGTGGCACGCCCAGTGGGACCGATTTATTTGGTCCTTACAACCAAATAAATTTCTTAGTGAAACACGGAATTTTTTGTATCTTTCGCAGCCACGGTGTTAATTTGTTGCTCCGATTTTGCAACTAGAAGATCACGCAAAAAATTATCTTTGTTTGGCCAAAAAGATGTCAGCCAACAAGTAACACGAAGAAGCTTTCGATTTCACAGATAATCTTGGAGCTGCACTCGCTCCACAGCTAATGTCGATTTCACAGATAATTAGCAAGGGGCAACCTTGAAGATTGAAGTTTCGAGAAATACATATCCTCGAAGGGGAAAGCATCCATCGAGCACCATACTACTACTCGAAGTGTTCGAGAAGATGTATCTCGGCTTTTATCTACTCAACTACTACCTTCTCAGAATCGAGGTAACACTTTCTCGAATAATCAATTTATTACGAGATCGAGGTACTTCTAAAACTTTTTCATACTTTAATATCTAATACCCTTATCATATTTCTATCATATCACGGTATCTTTTTGAGCACAATCAAAGGAACCTTTTGAGGAACCAAATCTCTAGGAAAAATTCCCATCACCCTGCAATGAGGAAAATCACCTCGGGGCTGCCTTCAACGAGGAAAACGTACTCAGGGCACAAACTAGAAAAAACCCTAGGGGCAAGAAACTTGAGAGATCATCCTAACATCCTATACTTGAACGGATATTTCTTAGGAGCATCTTATTACTACATGTCATTATTATCTTGTATTGCATATCAATGATCTACACATTCGCGGTCCACCATGCAAACAAGGATACTCGCGGACCACCGCACAAACAAGGACACTCGCGGTCTACTGCGCAAACAAGGATACTCGCGGTCCACCGCGCAAACAAGGATACTCGCGGTTCACCGTGCAAACAAGGACACTCGCGGTCCACCACGCAACCAAGGAACTCTCTAACACAAAGACTTCCTCGAGGCATTCTATCTCTCTTTATCTTATATAGGTGACACCCGAGAACGAAAGAGTTCGAGAACTGGGGCAACACTACGAAACTCGAGGAAACATCAACACTCGTAGCAACCCATATTCCTCTTATCAAGTCTCGAGAATATGGCTTGCTAGGGGGACTTGACGAGTCATAAATTAACCCTAGGCCTATTGGGCCTAAGATTAGATTACTTGGAGATCAAGCCACCGTATAAACCTATTCCGCTAGGGTTTCAGGAAACATATAGTACCACCTCTATATAAAGAGGTGGTGCCTCTCTCATAATTCATATCTTCTACTTATCTTCTATCTATCTTCTACCTATCTTCTACGCCTTCTACACACGATACACATCCCTCTCTCTCTATTATCTCTATTCCCTTATTGACTTAAGTATCGGAGAATCTACCCTCGGGAGACACCCGAGGCTCTGTCTTGCAGGATTTAGGCCGTCTGCTGCCTCCTAGATCATCGTTGCCGCCCGTCCTAAAGCACCGTGTAAATCCATGCTTCGTCATTCGCAGTAGCTAAAGAAATTGGAATTTATATATATATATATATAATTTTTATTAAAAGGTTACTTATTAAGGCGTTAAAAAATGTCCCAAAATAATCTAAAACAACATTTCATGGTGTCATGACTAATGAAGCACGTGAGGATCAAGTTAAAATGATGTGGCACTTCAAAAATGTCATAATAGACTAAAACTCTATTAACACATCAATATAGATGACGCTTTGAAACACTGTCATTATAAGTTAAAGTGTCTTGATACATAACTTTTTATGACATTTGTAAGCCTGGTTAAATCCAATTTTTCTTGTAGTGAAAATTTTTTTTTTGAATCTTTTCATGAAATTGCTATTGACAGAATAATTTTAAAGCACAAAAAATTTTAAACAGAAATGGGTAAGACAGAGCCCTTGGCTGTGTCCAATATTTCAAAGTAAATTTTGCTGAAGTAAATTTTTGTTACATCATATAATATTCAAGAGAAATAATAAGCTATGTTTTAAGATTTTTCCTTAGAAAGACAAAACAATAAATAGCTTACCGCACTCCATACAGATCAAAATAAACTTACCGCAATTCATAGTCTACGGATCAAATATTATCAGTTGGTTACAGAGCTACGTTGATAATGTGTTTTAAAGTAAAGAGATAAAACTATGGAAGAAGGATAAGTAGGAAGAAACAAAGTAAGAGAGAGAGAATTGATCTATGTATTATTCGGTCGAGAATGATCACAAAGTATATACTTAGATAAGAATAACTCTATCAAATGATAAGATCTAACTAAATATTATCTCTATACATTGATTTCTTGTATAACTCTTCTGTCTTGTACACATCCATACTATTAGATATTTAACTCTCTCTAAAATTATGAAGTTGCTCACGTGATACATCGATTGTACTGAATATTTACTCACCAATTATAATATTAGAATGCGTAGGGTAAAAATGGTTTGTTTTTTTTTTTTTTTCCTTTTCAGCGAAGTTTTGATCTTAGGACTTAAGAGAGTTGGATATGATTTACAAAGTGTAAGTTCTACACTAGAACTCTACGGGCTCGTATATCAAATATCTTAGCAACTCTCTTCTTTCTTCTTGAAAAAATATTAAAACAAAAAAGTCGCATAGTTTAGGGAAATTCATTTTTCTCTTTTTCCCGGAAAAGAGTTTTATTTATCTCATCTTGAATCTTTTTAATCTTGCAACTAGAATGTAAAAATCAATTGTGACGAAATGAAAAATAGCCAGAAGCTAAGGTAGACAAAATGAATTTGATCATGGAAAAGACTGAATAATGGATTGTGACTTTTGTAGTCTACTCGAGGATGAAGTTATGAATGAGGTGGTGACGTTGGGATCTATAGTCCCAAGTAACACGTGAGAAATAGTATTCCCTCTTGCCTTATGTTTCATTATGAGTAAAGTCGATTACAAGTATTAAGGGATTGACTCGAACGTAAGTTTTCGAGTTGGATTCACTATTAAATGTAAGTTATGTTGGTTCATCTCGACCGAGTCGGGGTTGGACTATGACGAGATCTCTTTGTTGCATGTTAGAATATCTCACATTATTAGGAAGTTGCCTTTTCAGATCAATATTATTATTTTTATTATTTTACTCGTACCCATATGTGGTAACATAGTAATTTAGACCTTTTGGCCTCCTTCATTGTACCAAAAAAAAAAAAAAATCAAATCAATTGTTATACTACACACCCTCAAAGGATAGTTTTGTCCCAAATCATTGCATATTATCGGGGAGAAATATAAATCGGTTCAAGAATAGTAATATCTAT